TGGGCTGGGGATGTGGCTCGAGCGGTAGCGCACTCGCCTGGCATGCGTGCGGCCGGGTTCAATCCTCAGCACCACATACATACAAAGATGTTGTGACCACCAAATACTAAAAAATAAATATTAAAACTCACTCTCTCTCTTCTCTCTCTCTCTCTCTCTCTCTCTCTCTCTCTCTTTAAAAAAATAATAATTTGTAAGTTTTAAATTGCATGCCATTTTGAGTAGAATGATGAAATATTACACTGTACTGCTTGTTACAGTTTATTGTTATGTGTCCTATTTTATTGTTATTGTTAATCTCTTACTGTGTTTATGAATTAAACTTTATCGTATGTATGTATAAGAAAAAACAGTATATAGAGAGTTTGATATGGTCTACAGTTTCAGGCATCTCAGGAAACCCAAGTCTGACTCCTGGAATGAGAACAGAACACTTTTTATTGTTTTGTTTTCACATTTTAATTGAGACATAACTTACATACAATACAATGCATACATTTTAAGCTGCGCATTTGATGATTATTGTATACACCCATCAACACACACTCCAATCAAGATATGAAATATTTTCATCAACCCAAGAAGTTCCTTCCTACCCTTTATGAGTTAATATCCACCTCCAGAGGCAACCACTAGTCTGTTTTGTTACTATAGATGCTCTTTATTTAGGTTTGACATTTTCCATAATAAACTATTAAAACATCAAAAAATTTAAAATCATCAAAACTTATTTTTTTAAATGGGTGAGATAAAGATTGGAAGAGTTGATGAAATGGCTTTTTGATACATTTAATACTTAGTAAACCAGAGTAAGGGCATGCTGTATAGAAAATACAGGAAGGATAGTATATATATTCAATATATGCTGTAGTGTGGGTGTCTGAGGATCAATTGAAATGCCCTGTGTATCATAAGCATGGGAGATTCAGGGGAAAAACAAATAATTTATTTACTCTGGCATAGTGCCACGCAATACTAAAAGGTAAAGGATTCACTCTTTAAAAAACGTGTCATAAGGAAACAGTCTCAGACTGGATGCGATGGCTCATGTCTGTAATCCTAGCAGCTCAGGAGGCTTAAGCAGGAAGGTCACAAGTTTGAGGACACCCTCAGCAATGTAAGAGACCATTTCTCAAAATAAAAAATAAAAAAGGGCTGGGGATGTAGCTCGGTGGTAGAGTACCCCTGGGTTTATTCTCCAGGACCAAAAACAAAACAAAACCCAGACAAAGTTGAGAAGTTTACCACAATCAGACACCCACTAGAGCACACTCTACAGGGTATTTTTCAGGCAAAGAAGAAAATGATCCCTGGATGGAGTGCAGAAAGCAAAGAGGAACCAAGATGGCAAATATGTGAGCAAAATAAAAGAAATATTGCCAATATAAGATAAAAATGTTCCTGAATCCCCAGTCACTGAGTCTCTGCCAAGGACTCAGCAGCCTCCCCCTCCATCCCCCCTGCACTTCCCGAGGCCCCGCCCCCCCCTTCTCCCGCAGCCCCCGTTTCCACCATTTCCATCGCAGAAAAGGAATCCTATCCTATTTCATATATTTCCGGTATCCAGAACCTCCACTTTTGACCCTTTTGCTGATGCAAGCAAGGGTTATGACCTGCTTCCTGCTAGCACTGAGGATTAAATCCACATAATAATTCAACAGAGAAACATCTGGAAGACCTTTACTACTGTCCAAGGAGTCGCTGGTGATTACGATTAAAAGAAACGAATGAAGGTGTTTAGGAAGAAATTTGCCTGCAATAGTACTGTAATTGAGCATCCAGAATATGGAGAAGTAATTCAGCTACAGGGCGACCAGTGCAAGAACATGCCAGTGTTCCTGGTAGAGACTGGACTGGCTAAGGGCAATCAGCTGAAGGTTCATGGGTTTTAAATGCTTGTGGCTCACTGAAGCTTAAGTGAAAATTTCCTTGCAATAAGTAGAATTTCCTTTCTGTCCCTTGTCACAAGTTTAAAAACCTCACAGCTTGTATAATGTAACCACTTGGGGTCCTCTTTTAACTTGGACTAGTGTAACTCCTTCATGCAATAAACTGAAAAGAGCCATGCTGTCTAGTCTTGAAGTCCTTCATTTAAACAGAGGTCAAGCAGTAGGTGCCTGGCAGTGTCCACCCTGAAACAAAGCAATAACATGATGTTTCAGCAAAGCCCAAAGCCCCAAGATCAGATGGCTGTGTCTGACCAGAAGCTTCTCAGCTCTCCCTTAACAGAGGCCCCTGCCCTAAGAGTGTTCTGACCTGATCAGGAGGATGGGGTAAGGCAACTGTACCACTAGAGGGGGACTTTAGTAGTTTTGGTGAGGGTTTTTTTGTTTTGTTTTTTAAAAAGAATCCCTGGTGTCTAACCTGACCAGGTGGGCAGAACTCAGAGGCCACCTTCCCTCTTGTGAGGCGATGTGACATTTGACTTGCCACCAATGTCTTTTTTTTTTTTTGACTAGACATATCTTAGCTAAGGGGTGTCTAAAACAACAGAATGTGAGGCCAGCTTAATATCAGTTACATTTTTGAGAAAGGAACAAATACCAACTGATGTTATCAGTCCCATAGCTAGCTGTAGAGCTTGCAACTCACTAGCAACAGCTGCCCAGTGTCATGTGAAGTGATAAACTGTTTTCTGGTTTTCTTTTTCCCCTTCCAGTTTTAATGTTATATAATGTATTTAGACCCTTATTTAAATAAACTTGTTTTCAGAAATGAAAAAAAAAGTTTGTGATATGTGTGCCACACACACACACACACACACACACACACACACACCATAACTCATTATATTTTTAAATACACGTGTGTATATATGTGTGTGTGTGTATATATATATATATATACACACATATACATACACACACACACACACACACACATATGAGCAAAGTTGCTGTTAAAATTTTAGGTGGTGCAACACCTGTAATCCCAACATCTTGAGAGGCTGAGACAGGAGGACCTTGAATTCAAAGCCAGCCTCAGCAACTTAGCAAGGCACAAGTGCCTTGTCTAAGTAAAAGAAACCTGTCTGTAAATAAAATATAAAAAGGGCTGGGGATGTGGCTCACTGGTTAAGCACCCCTGGGTTCAATCCTCAGTATCAAAAAAAAAAAATTTAGAAGACTAATATTAAGTGCTGGTGATGCTAGGAACTTCTCAAACTTCTGACAGTATAAAGTAATCCAATTCAGAAAGGAAAAAAACAATAAAGTTGACAAACTTTGACACAGATTAATCAGGGCCCAGGTAAGACACAGAAACCACACCCATTATTTTCACAGAGAAAAGTTATTTTAAATGACAATTGCTTATAAAATTGGAGAATTCCCACATATAACTTAAGAAACAAAAAGAAAACAAATTTAAGTTTTCAGGGAGGTAGCAACTGTAGAAAGCAGCTAGGCTAGGTAGTAACAAAAGGATACCATTGGAGTTATTAAAAATTAGAAAGGTGGAAGAGGGGTCCCATGTAACTGGGACTCAGGCCTCTAAGGAGGTTTTATCAGCCAGCTGATGTCTATGTCTCAAAGCAGGTGGAGTCCAATAAAGCTGAATCTGGGGGGACTAGGAAATCTCAAAGTGCACGAAACTGCTTCTATGACAAGGAATTCTGCTGCCTAGTGAAAACACAGTGCTGGCTGGACACACAGATGAAGGAGGAGCTAACAGGAAGGGACAAAAGGACCCAGTTCCTTTTTTTTCCCTCTCTCTCCAGTCCTAAAATTTACATCTAGTATCTCTTCTTGGCAGAGAGCAGCTGGCAATACAGAAATGTGGTTTTTAGACTCACAAAGTACAATCTAGAAAGATGGGTTTGGAGCTGGGACACAAGAGCTTAATAACTGCTGGCTGAGGTGGCACACACCTGTAATCCCAGCTGCTTGGGAGGGTGAGGCAGGAAAATCACAAGTTTGAGAGCAATCCAGGCAGCTTTGAGAGACCTTGCCTCAAAATAAGACATAAAAAAGACTGGGGATGTAGCTCAGTTGTAAAGTGCCCCTGGGTTCAATCTCCAATACAAAAAAAAAAAAAGAGCTTAGTAACTGGAAAATCACTACACCCTATGAACCAGCAATTCCACTTCTAGGTCACAAAACACAGAAACAATACAATGTCCTTCACAGGGGAATGGAGAGGGGAATAAATAAATTAGACTTTTATCAACATGGATAGATATTGAGAAGGTAGCATCACATAAAAAAAGCAAGCTACCAAATTTTATTTTATTTATTTCTATTTTTTTGGTGGTACTAGAGATTGAACCCAGGACCTTGTGCATCTAGGCAAGCACTCTACCAACTGAGCTATATCCCCAGCCCACCAAATTTTATCTATAATGTGACAGTATCTGTGTAACATTAACAAGACCATGTAGTATTATACATTGCAGACTTCATTCTATACAAAAGGAAATCTCAAAGTGGATTGAAATTCTAAATGATGGTAAAAACTTCAACTGCAGAGGAAAGTATAGAAAAAAAAACTTCAGCAGAAGAAGGAACAAAATGAATCAGTCACGGACTGAGAGAACACATTACATAACACACAAAAAAAGGATTTTTATAATCTCATATATTAAACACCATTTCAACCAGGAAGTAAAACATGAACAGCCTATTAGAAAACAGTGAGCATACCAAGCACAGGGGCACCTGCATGTAATCCCAGCAACTCATGAGGCTGAGGCAGGAGGATCACAATTTGAAGCCATCTTCAGTAACTTAGTGAGGTCCTGTGTCAAAATAAAAAATAAAAAGGACTTGGGATGTGGCTTAGTGGTTAAGCACCCCTGGGGTCATTCCCTGGTACAGAAAAAAAAAAGATAAAAGAGGGGCTGGGGTTGTGACTCAGTGATAGCATGCTTGCCTAGCATGCATGACACACTGGGTTCAATTCTCAGCACCACATTCAAATAAATAAAATAAAGACCCATCAACAACTAAAAAATTTTTTTTAAAAAAGACAAAAGAAAACAGTGAGCACCAGCTACTTTGGAGGCTGAGGCAAGTTCAAGGCCAGCCTTAGAAGCCTAGTGAAACACTGTCTCAAAATAAAAAAGGACTGTGGCTGTGGCTCAGTGGTAAAGTGCCCATGGGTTCAATTCTCAGTACTAAATAATCAGTGAGGAAAGAGTGTGAACAGTCAATACATGGAAGGAAAAACCTGAAGGGCCAAATGGATAAGATATTCAACTTCACCACCAACTGGGGAAATACAAATGAAAATAACAAGGAGCTGCCCCCTAAGAGGGTCAGGAACTAGCTTTCCACCAAGCTAGGTGCCAGGACATGACAGGGGTATTCTGAGTGCTCTGGTAATCAGATGCCCCAAGGGGCTTGATCCAGGGGTGGGGAGGGTCTTTAGGGAGGGGCTTTTTCTATTGCACATGGCAAGGGCCGGCCTAAGTGAGTTCTCTGGTGTTCCGTGAGGTGTGCCTTCCGGCAGAAAGCCTTCCCGCACTCTTGACATTCAAAGGGTCTCTCCCCCGTGTGAATTCGCTGATGCTCAATGAGACGGGCTTTCACGTAGAAGGCATTTCCACACTCACTGCATTCATACGGTTTCTCTCCTGTGTGCGTTCTCCGGTGCTGCCGAAGGGACTTCCTCATGCTAAAGATCTTCCCACACTCAGTGCATTCATAGGGTTTCTCTCCCGAATGTCTTCGCTGATGCTCGATGAGACGTGCTTTCACGTAGAAGGCGTAACCACATTTGTTGCATTGGTAAGGCTTCTCTCCCGTGTGAATTCTCTGATGGACCCCAAGAGAGGAGTGCACACTGAAAGCTTTCCCACATTCATTGCACTGATAGGGTTTCTCACCGGTGTGGATCCTCTGATGGTTATTGAGAGTCATCTTCATTCGGAAGAACTTCCCACATTCTGCACATTCATAAGGTTTCTCCCCTGTGTGAATGCTCTGATGTTGATTTAGGGATTTCTTTGCCCGGAAATTTTTCCCACATTCCCCACATTCATAGGGTTTCTCCCCCGTGTGAGTTCTCTGGTGCTGGGTGAGGGCTATCTTGACACGAAATGGTTTCCCACATTCACTACACTTGTAGGGTTTCTCCCCCGTGTGGGTCCTCTGGTGGATGGTGAGAGTTGCCTTCTCGGAAAAGGTTTTCCCACATTCTGTACATTCATAGGGTCTCTCTCCTGTGTGGGTTCTCCTGTGTAAAATGAGTTGTGACTTCCGGCCAAAAGATTTCCCACATTCAGGGCATTCGAAAGGCTTCTCCCCCGTGTGAGTTTTCTGATGGGCAATGAGGTATGATCTGGCACTGAAGGTTTTGGCACAGTCGCCACATTCATAAGGTTTTTCCCCTGTGTGTATTCGCAGATGTTCAACCAGGTTTGATTTCCTGCAGTATGCCTTCCCACATTCATGACATTCAAAGCTTTTATCTCCAGTGTGTGTTCTTTTCTGTTGAAGGAAGCCGGTTTCCTGGTGGAAGCCTTTCCCACATCCATTATATTCAATGTTTTGATGCAAACTGTGAAGACGCTGATGCTGAAGCAGGCTGTTATCCAGCCTGAGGGCATTAGCCCCAACAGAGCTGTTGCCACACAGTAGCGAGAGAGATCCTTTAAAAACAAACCAGAGTCTGTCACTCTTTGAGGTATTAACACCTTCAAATGGCTTCTGTCATAGTGTAAAATTAAACTTGTCACCAGAGCCTTTATAATTTATATCATTTTGGCCCCCTGATGACTCACTGATACTACCTCTCAATATTTTTCCCTCTTCTGCCCTGGCCTTTTTGCAAGTCCCAGGAGATGTCACTTAGACTAAGCTTGGCACTGGGTTCAATCTGCCCACAATATTCAAAATTCATATGGCTCAGCCAGGTGTGGTGGTGCACACTTGTAATCCCAGCAACTTGAGAGGCTGAGGCAGGAGGATTGTGAGTTCAAAGCCAGCCTCAGCAATTTAGTGAGGTCCTCAGCAACTTGGCAAGACCCTGTCTCTAAATAAAACATAAAAAGGGCTGGGGAGCTGGGCATGGTGGCACATGCCTATAATTCCAATGGCTCAGGAGGCTGAGGCAGGAGGATTGTGAGTTCAAAGCCAGCCTCACCAAAAACTAGGCACTTAGCAATTCAGTTCCTGTCTCTAAATAAAATACAAAATAGGGCTGGGGATTTTGCTCAGTGGCCTAGTGCTCCTGAGTTCAATCCCTGGCACCCCCTCCCCCCCAAAAAAGGGCTATGGATGTGGCTCAGTGGTAAGTGTCCCTAGATTCAATCCCTGGAACAAAAAAAGAAAAAGAGTACTGGATAACTTGACAAAAATCAAGATAAAACAACAGTGAATTGTGAGCATGATGTTGGGGTATGGAATTTAGGTATCGAAAGCAGTTAAACCTTCTGTCCTTATTTTCAAAGAGTTCAGGCCTAGCAAAAGAGATTCCTAGAACATATTGTATAAGGATACTCTCTGACCTGAATTCCTGGGATCTCACTCCCCCTGTGTTCCATATGTCTGTTTCTTACATACTCACCTGAGTAACCATGATCTGAAGATTCCTCCTCTAATATCCACAGTTCTTCTCCTCGCTCCAATTTGAAGATCATCTCTGGTTTGGCCACGCAGAGGCCTGTTAATGGGAAATGGCACAGGACGTGGGCCAAGATGTCTGAGCTTTGGGGCCTCTGATGAAGGAGGAAGGTGCATCTTCATGAGCTGCACAAGGAAGGGGGCCCATTTAAACCTTTCACTGGGGAGATGAGAACATACATAGTTCTTCCTGGTGCCCTAAACTGTTCAGCCAGTGTGACCCTTGAATCTGAAACTAAAATATCACTAAACTCTACAGAGGCTGCATGTGGTCTAGTGATCACATGCTCCCAGGAGTTACAAAGACAAACATCCTCACCCACGGATGCCAGGTTGCTGTAGGTCTCCAGCATCACATCCTTGTGCATGGTCCTCTGAGCAGGGTCCAGTCTGTGCCACTCTTGTCGGGTGAAATCCACAGCCACATCCTCAAATGACACGGACCCCTACAACAACAATCTCCAGTGATCAGAATTGGATGCACAAATTTTAAAAAAAAGATGTTTGAGAACTAATCCTTTCAATGGAATCTTATTGAGAGCACACTAGAAAGAGGCACACTGGATACCCCATCCAGTATCTTACTTGATATTACACTTTTTTGGGGCAAAGGAAACCTGAAAAGTCACGCTACTGTGTTCATGCATTAATTCATGAAGAAAAGATTACTAAGCTACTGAATTGAGACTGTGTGCCTGGTCCTCGGCAAGTTTCTGGGGAAATGAAAATGAAGAAACCAAGGGATCTGCACTCAACAAGTTCACACAAGCAACTCAGTGAGACCCTGTCTCTAAATATAATACAAAAAAGGGCTGGAGATGTTGCTCAGTGGTTAAGCATCGTCCCTGGTTTCAATCCTCAATACCTCAAAAAGGGGGGGGGGGTTGCTGAGAACAGCAAAATGAGAGACAATGAGTCAAGGGAGGAGAAAGCGAGGTAGATCTTGAGACCCACCAGGAGTGTCTATGGGATATTCCAATGGAAATGTCCAGCTGGAATTCAGGACAGAAGGCTGGCATACAGCAAGGTTTGGGAGGTGAGATTATTTCACTACTATCTGAAGCTACTACAATGAATTCAGAAGCTAAGAGAGAACATGGGTTTGAGAGGAGAACCTGCTGAGAGCCATAGGCCAGTCCAAAAGATGCATGGCATTTTTGCCAGAAGGAGTGGTTGAGAGGTGAGGCCAGCAAGCCATTGAGATGATAATGGTTATGTTAAGCTGTGTATATTAGACCCCTGCTGTCTGCCTTGGCCTGCTACTTTGGAGTTCTCCTGGGGATTCCCGGAGAGTTCCCATTGGTTGGGGAAGTGCTGGAGGAGGGATTTCCGGTTGGTGTGCGGTGTGTCCCGGGAGAAGGCCACGTGGGTGGCTGGGTGGCTTTGGTGGAAAAACCCGAGTGCAGTGCCGGTGAGAGTTTAAATAAAGTAGTTGCTGTTTGAACCTACAAGGCTTTGTGGCGGCTCGGTTATTCGTGCCCAGTCAGACTGTGGCAAGAACTGAGTACAGAGTCTGAGAGGCACCAATGTGCCATGAAGATTACAAGGCAAATTTTTGAATGGTAGGGACAGAACCAGGAAAGTATGATGTTTTGGAACATAAGCCAGGAGACAGTCTCAGATAACTGTGCCATTTCCAGTTTAAGACAGTGTGACTCAGTGGTCGAGGGCTTGCCTAGCACAAGGTCCTGGGTTCCACTATCAGCACCTCTATAAGAAAAGGATAGTGAATAATAACACACCCATTCATCTCGCCTATCTTTAAAAGCTAAAAGAAGACCTTTGGGCTGAGGTGTAGCCGAGTGATAGAGAGCTTGCCTAGCATAAATGAGGCCCTGGTTCCATCCTGCACCACCAAAAAAATATTTATAATCTTCGGAGAAAAATGGAAGGCCCTTGTGAGACAAAGAGACTAGGAGAAATCCTATTTTTTTTCCTTCATGCAGTGCTGCCCCCAACAAAGCCTAGTGCCAACACTGCAATCCAGCAACAGCAGTCACCTTGAAGGAAAGGGAGTCCTACTCTCTGACCAGAGACAGTGGGAAGGAACCCTGCCACTTTTATCCTATCCTATCAATGGCTGATTCTGAAGGCAAACCTAGTTGGGAAACCCTGAGTGCCATAGTGGAAACGCTATATCTCCAGCTCTCTAGTCAGCTCAGGGAGCTACAGTGGGAGGAGGAAAAGCTTGTGGATGGGCGGGGGCTGTGGCTCAGCAGTAGAATGCTCACCCAGCACATACGAGGCCCTAGAAATTAAAAAAAAAAATCAAAAGTGAGGGCTTGGGAATAGCTCAATTGGTAGAGTGCTTGCCTCACATGCACAAAGCCCTGGGTTCAATCCCCAGCAACATAATAATTAAATAATGAAAAGAATTGAACAGAAAAATGGACAAATCTACAACAATGACTAGAGACTTCAACAGCTCTCTAGGAGTAAGAACTAGTAGACAGAAAATCAGCAAGGATATAGGGAAATTGAACACCATCAATCAACCAAATAACTTTACAGACACTCTACTCCAGAAAAGATGGGTCCTTCAAGTACACATGGAATATTTACCAACATAGACCATATTCAGGATCATAAAACAATCCTCAGTAAATTTAAAAGAATTGAAAACATTCCAAGTATTCTCTGATAATAATAATAGTTTAATAATAAATTAAACTAGAAACCAATAATAGAAAGATGCCTGGACAATTCCTAAATATTCAGAAACTGAAGAAGATATTGTCCACGCACAAGGCCCTGGGTTCAATCCCCAGTACTGAAAAAAAAAAAAACCAAACATTTTCCACTGGTTGTGGCAGTGTGCTACTCAGGGTGCTGAGGCAGGAGGACTGCTTGAGCCCAGGAGTTTGAGACCAGCCTAGATAACTAACAACAAACAAAAAAACACATTTCTACATAATGCATGGTCCAAAAAGAAAGTCTCAAGGTAAATAAAAAATACTTTGTACTGAAAGAAGATTAAAATACAAATATCAGGCGGCTGGGGTGTGGCTCAGCAGTAGAGGGAGGCACTGGGTTCAATCCTCAGCACCACATAAAAGTAAATAAACAAAGATACTGCAACCATGTATAACTAAAAAAATATTTAAAAAATACAACATATCAGTATTTATGGGGTATAGCTAAAGTAATGCTGAGATAGAAATTTTTTAAAGGTGAGAGAGAGAGAGAGAGAATCTTTTTTTATGTAGATGGATACAACACAATGCCTTTTTATTTATTTATTTTTATGTGGTGCTGAGAATCAAACCCGGTTCCCGCCCATGCTAAGCAAGTGCTCTATTGCTAAGCCACAATCCCAGCCCAAGATAGAAATTTATAACAAGAAATACTTACAGTAAAAAAATCTGAAATCAACAATCTAAGCTTCTTACAATACTAGAATTGAGAGTAACATAAACTCAATGCAAGCAGAAGAAAGGAAATGATAAAAAGACAAGCAAAATTAAATATAGGGGAAAGAATAGAGAAATACATGACACCAAAAGTTCATTTTTTTAAAAAAGATTGATGAAATTGATTAACTTCTTGATGGACTAAGAAAGAAAAAAAACAAAAGAGACCACTTATTCATAGCAGAAGTAGAAGATGAGATATCACTATATACTCCATAGACACTGAGATGAGAAAAAAAATGAACACCTTTGTTCACATAAATTTAACAACTTAGATGAAATGGACCATTTCTATGAAATCCATAAAATACCAAAACTCACTCAAGAAGTAGATAACCCAAAGAAATATCTACTAAAAAATTGAATTCTTAGTTGAAAGCCTTCTGAAAAGAGAAATTCACAGGCCCAGATGGGTTAACTGGTCATTTCTACCAGCCATTTAAGGAATATATCAATTCTACACAATCCCTCCTTTTTTTATTTTCTAAAAGAGAACACTTCTCAACTCCTCCCTCCCTCCCTCCCCACCCTCTCTGCTAGGGATTAAAACCTAGGGCCTCACACATGCCAGATAGGCAATCTATTAACACAGAGCCACATCCCCAGCCCTCAATTCTCAACTCATTTTTGGGGAGGTCAACATTATCCTGATTATAAAACCAAAGACATGACAAAAAAAATACAGTCTAATATTGTTAAAGACCCCCGTCCAACGTTAAAGACCCCCGGTATCCCTGTCCAAGGAGAATCACACGAAACACTGGCTGCAAAAGCAAGAGGTTTAGGTTTATTAGGACACAGGCGCCTGCGGGTGCCCAGCAGAACTTCAGCCAGAGCTTTGGTGAACTGGCACACAGGGCTTGGGGATACAGAGATTTTTATAGGGTTTGGGACAGGTTTCGCGCACGAGGGAAGCAACAGGTTTCTTATTGGTTTGTTTAAATCTAGCATATAGGCCACCTAGGGGGTACAGGTCTGCATTCCAAAAACCACAGGTCTGCATTCTATTCTTTCTGTTCCTGCTTATCTGTTCCTGTTTATTCATTCATGCCTCAGGATGCAGGTGCTCTGTTCTTCAACCAGTTGTCCGGAAAGCATGCCTGGCGCCTGAACCTGTTTATGGTGTGCCTGGTATCTTGGTTTCATATCTTGGCCTTAGGTAACTGGGCTAACTGGGCTAGGGTCTTTCAATATCCCTCATAAACACAGAAGAAACCTCAACAAATAGCAAATCAAATCCAGAAACATGTAAAAACATACTGTCTGATTAGTTGAAGTTTAACCAAAGAGTACAAGGCTGGCAGAAATTTTAAAAACCAATATGAGAGACAGGAGAATTACAAGTTCTTCAAGCGTAGCCTCATTAACTTAAGGAGGCCCTAAGAAACTTGGTGAGACTCTCTTGAAATAAAAAATAAAAAGGGTTGGGGATGCGGCTCAGGTCTTAAATACCCCTGGCGTTAGAAAAAAAAATTAAAAAAAAAAACAATATGACCCACCATATTAAGAAATGAAGGCTTGGGGTGTAACTCAGAGGTAGAGGGCTTGGCTAACATTTACAAGGCCCTTGGTTCAATTCCCAGTGGGAGAAGATTGGTTAATTCCATAAAGTGAGATTATGAGAAATTTTCAAATGAAAAGTTTTCTAATTCTAATCATTTGGTTAAGACAGTGGCCATCAGGGGCTGGAGTTGTGGCTCAGTGGTAGAGTGCTCGCCTAGCATGCACAAGGCACTGGGTTCAATCCTCAGCACCACGTAATCGTAAAATAAAGATCTTGTGTCCACCTAAAACTTAAGAATAAATATTTGGAAAAAAAGATAGTGTCCATCAGGTTTCTCCACTATAAAGTTACCATTTCTCCCTATATAATTAAAATCAATAATCAGTGGAGATATATTGAGGTTATGTATATATTTTGTTCTTTATTAAACTTTCATTCAATAGTTTTGCATCGGGCTGGGGATGTGGCTCAAGTGGTAGCGCGCTCGCCTGGCATGCGTGCGGCCCGGGTTCGATCCTCAGCACCACATACC